CCTTTATCAGACTGAGGAAGTTTCCTGTTTTTAGTTTGCTGGGAGGTCGGTTTTTCTTTAAGGGTTCTATTCCCGGTCAGGGCACATACCTGGTTATGGGCTTGATCCCCAGTAGGGGACGTGCAGGAGGCAGCCAATCGATGATGTTTCTCTCTCTATCCCTCTCCCTCTAAAAATCAATAAAAACATATTTTAAATAATCACAAAGAGTTGTTGCATATTGTCATCTGCTTCTTATGCATCTGTTAAAATGATTATTGGATTTTAAAGAATAGTTTATTGATTTTTAAATAGAGAGGAAGCAAGAGAAACATTGATGTGTGAGAATGCAACATTGATTTGCTGCCTCCTGCGTGCCCCCTCTCCCCCCCACAAATTGGGATTGAGCCAGAACCCAGGCATGTGCCCTGAACGGGAATCAAACCAGCAAACTTTCAGTGCATGAGATGGAGCCCAACCAACTGGGCCACACCGGCCAGGGCCATCATAGGGTTTTTAATCCATCAATCTGCTAACATGGCACATTACACTGATTTTTGAATGTTAAATCAACACTGCAGTCAGGGATAAACTTCACTTGGTCGTTTTAGTATATTATCAGGTTTGATTTGCTAAAATTTATAAGATTTTGCACATATATGCTAACAGGAATATTGGTCTAATTTTCTTTTCTTGTAACATCCTTGATTTGGGCTTGTTATCAAGATTATCCTCGTCTCACAAAAATGAGTTGGACATCACCTCCTTTATAATTACAGATTGGTAGTGTTTCTTCGCCAAATGTTTGAAGCTAAGGCAGGGAACCAAAGTTTCCCCACCCGAAGCTTCCTTTTTTTGGGATATTGATTTTAAGCTGTTTATTAAGAAACAAAAGACTCAGAACTTTTGACCCTAACCCTTGTCTGTCCAAGAGATTCAAACAGAAACACCTGCTTCAGGAAGGAGATCTTAGAATGTTCTCCTTAGCCAAATTTGAACTAAGCATGGTGAATAAGAGGGCTTCAGGAAGGGGCCTGTTAGCTAGAAAGATACTGGCTGTGTTCCGTTATCTCAGAGTTGCCTCGCAGGAAAATTCTTGCTGTATGTTCTGCCTCATGGATGTTCCACTCTTCCAGATTCACCCATTCTCACTTATGAAACGTAATACCCCGCCTCCTCTTTCTCCAAAGTGTTTTATGTGAATTCCCCATGCACATGTATTAAATCTTTGATTTTTCTTCTGTTAATCTGTCTCTGTTAATTTAATTATTAGTCTAGCTAGAACTTAGAAGATGAGAGGAAAGGTATTAATTTTAGAATTTTTTTTGGCTTAAAACAATAGAACTTTATCGTCTCATAGTTCTGGAAGCCAGAGGCCCAGAATCAAGATGTTGGCAGAGCTGTTTCCTCCTGGAGGCTCTAGGGAGAATGTGTTCAATACCTCTCTTCTAATTGCTGGTGGTCTCCGACAATCCTTGGTGTTCCTTGACTTGTAGATGCATCCCTCTCATCTCTGTTTTCATCCATCACATGGCCTTTTCCCCGTGTGTGTCTGAGGTATTAATATTTTTTTAGGCCCCACCAAGAATAAAACAGACAGAAAAGAGCATTAAGACAGCAGACTTAAACCCAAACCTCACAAGAATTGCATTAAATGTAAATGGACCAAACACTTCAATGAAAAGCAGTTTGGTGGGAGAAAGACTATTTCAACAAGTGGATATCCACATAGAAAAACAAAAACAACCAAAACCGAAAACTATCAAGGTTATAGAAGACAATATGTGAGAAAGTGTACAAGAGTATCTTTCATGACCTTGAGATAAGATTTCCTAAACAGCCCTGACTGGTTTGGCTCAGTGGATAGAGCGTTGGCCTGCGGACTGAAGGGTCCCAGGTTCGATTCCAGTCAAGGACATGTACCTTCGTTGCGGGCACATCCCCGGTAGGGGGTGTGCAGGAGGCAGCTTATCGATGTTTCTCTCTCATCGATATTTCTGGCTCTCTATCCCTCTCCCTTCCTCTCTGTAAAAAAATCAATAAAATATATTAAAAAAATATATATATACTTAAAAACAGACATTATATTAAGAAATGTTAATAGTAGCTTTATTCAAAATAACCCCAACCAAGAAACAACTCAAGAGGCCATCAAAATGAGAAGAATCCAATGTCATATACTAAATAAAAAAAGTATCAAAATACTGATACTCTACCAATACATGCAATAATAGGGATGAGTTTCACAAAAATCATGCTGAAGCCTGACACAAAGAAGCACATACTGTTATGACTCCATTTATATTAAGTTCTCTAAACAGAAATAAAAATAAAGGGGGGGGGGGTCAGAGAATACACTGGGAAGAGGCATGTGAAACTTTTCTGGGACGATGACAATATTCTATACTGAAAGGCGTTACACGGTGGTTAGATGCCAAGACTCATGTAATCGCAGTGGGTATGAACGCGGCCTCAACTTATTAAAAAAGCACACTGGGTACGCGCAGCGCCTGGTTCTTAGCAGGTGCGTCGTCAGCGACTGAAAAGCATGACCGCATATTGAGGGGTGACGATGCGGGGGAAACGGTTAAGCTTGGGGTTGCGGGGCTCTGCCTCTCGCGGGCAGCAACTAGCCAGGACCCGCGCGCTGCACTCGGGACCGCGGGCCGCCCCTTCCGCTTTCACGACGTTCAGTCTGCGTCCCGAGTCGGAATGGTTTAGTCCAAACCGCATACAAGTTGTTTCTCCGCCACAAATTAACCCTCGTTACGCTCTTTCATCGTTTAATTCTCAAACGTACTCACTCGCGAAAATACCTAGGGGTTGCCCTGCGCACACTTAAACACAAACAAACGAACGAGTAAACAAATAAAACCCTTCCCGCGCAATGGTAGCGCCCGCCCAGACGGTAGGCGCCCAGGCCGGAGCACACCATTCAGAGAGGGGGAGGGGTAGAGCTCTGCATCAAAACAAAGACACGCCCGTCCTCCCTGCAAGCCGTGATTAAGTGGTCCAGGAAGAAAAAATAAAAAATAGAGGAGGGGGTTATCAGCTTCCCTCCACAAGTCATCGGAACCAGCTTAAAAGGCATTTTCTCTCTTTCTCGTTCCCTTCCATCGGGTAAATATGAGCTGCACCAAAGGAAGAAACCGGAAGTGGCCCTGCAAGTGGCAGACATGTAAAAGTAGAGCCAAACAATAACAGGGCTTCCGGGCCTCTGAGACCCGGATAAAGCACGCGGGTTTCGCGGGCAAACCTCTCCTTTCGCATTCCCCACTTCCACGACTGACAGTATTTGATTGGATTTTCTTCGTCTAGCAGAGCCGGTTGGAAAATTTATTCCAGGGAGGACAAAGGTCCGGAAGTTATGGGACCTGCCTTAGCAGCGTGGGCGCTCAGATCGCCCCGAATAATCACTTCAGGATGCGCCCGAGATTTCACTAGGGTACTGTGGGCTCTAAAATCTAGAGCCGGCAACATAATTTGATGAACAAGAATAGATCCAGAGGCAAATGGCAAGGGGGGGCGGGGGGTTAGACAGCAACCAAAGGACTGGTATGCATGCACATTAGCATAAACAGTGGACAGAAACACTGGGGCAATGGGGGCATGCCCGGGGTGGGAAGGGCTGGGGGTGGTGGTGGTGGTGGTGTCAATCGGGGAAAAAGGAGACATGTAAAACTTTAGACAATAAATAAAAAAATAAAATCTAGAGCCGGGAGTTCCAGACCGTGTTACTTAACGATTCCCCGCTACCGGCCCTGGCATGGGGACAGGAATGGGTGGGTGGGGAAGAACCCCTTAGGCCAGCGGAAAGTTCCCCCAAGTTCCACTCCCCCGCCCAGGTGTTCAGGTTCCCAACATCCTCATTATCTACACCCAGACCTGCCAACATAGCCGCCAGCCAAGCTTCTCCTCTCCCCCGAACCCCCGGCCAAATCGCCAGGTCCCCGGCACCCCACCTCCCTCGCTGAAAATGCCCGGGGTCGAGAGCTCCTGGACTCAGAGAGGACTTATCACACTGCCAAGAGCTTACCTGAGTTTCGGGGAGCGTCTCACCGTCCTGGGAAGCACGCTCCGAGGCCGGAAGCCGGGCGACCCCGGGAGCCCAGGGAACACCTGTGTCCAGGACCGTGGCTTTGGACTTTTGAGCTCAAAACTTTTAGCGCCAGTCCGAGCACATGGGAGGGGGAAATCCCAATCCCAGCAACCCCTGCGAGACTACTGGCACAAAGCTGGGCAAGCAATGTGCCGGCGGGCGGAGGCTGCTGGAAAGGAGAGGGGGAGAGTCAGGATTCCGCTGTATTGGTGCCGTAGTTACCGACATTTTGCGATGGGGAAGTCAGACGAGCCAACGTCGTGAGGACAGCATTGGTGGAAACCATTTTGGAAGGCTCCTGTCATTGTAACCAATTGGAAGGTGGAAGGAAGAAAGCCTTTGTACTTGCCGTTCCCTCTGCCTGGAATACCTCTCTCCCAGATAGTTGGGTATTTCTTCTCAGCTAAAGGGTCACCTTTTGGGAAGGCTTTTATTAAGACCCCAATCTAATGTATTTCCCCTAATACTCTACATCACAGCCCTATTACTATCTGAAAATATTTGTTCCTTGCCTTTAATACACAGCAGCGTTAACTTTAGTCTACTTCTTATTCACTGTTTTATGTCCCAGAGCTTAGTACAGTACTGGGAAGCAACTAAGCGCTCAGTAATAAATATTTATTTAATGAATGAAGAGACGAAAGTCTGAGGAACTTGGCGAGATGGAGACGTTCAAAACCTGTAAAATCAAGCATGGCGCTAGCGCCCTCTGCCCCCCGAGGTGGGAAGTAGGCGCTTTAAGAACGACCGCGGGAGCCCGGGCTTTTCTCGCCCAGGCAGACGCTTTCAGACTACAACTCCCAGGAGCCACCAAAAGCCCCACGGCTTCATGGGAATGGTGACTCCTGGTCCTGCCCCTTCCGTGGGTCGCCCGCGAAATCTGAGCCGAGATGCGGAGACCCAATCGAAAGGTTGGCCCAGATCTCGCGAGAGCCAGTGGCGCGTAGGGACCAACCCGGCTGAGGTCCGCGGTGCTTTCAACATCGGTGTCCCAGCGGCTACGTTCCATTCTCGGGGTCTTCTGCCCCCTCCCGGAAGAGGAAGGGAGGCACAGGTGGGTCTCTCGTGTCGGCTTCCCGGATCCTGGTGAATTTTGAAGCGGAGCGTCCGGGGCAGCTAGCTGGCCAGCGGGGAGAGGGCTGCCTGGCCGAGGCCAATGCCTGCCGCGCTTCCTCGGCGGTATGAAGACGTCCGAGGAGCCACCGTTAGCGCCCTACTGCCTGTCTGCAGACAAGGCCCCGGCTTCAGCCCGTCTCTCGCCTCAGGCTTCCCCGATGGATAAAAACACGGACCCAGAACTGATGCCACTGACATCCGAAGGCGATGATCCGCCCCGCGTGTCCCCCGATCCCATGGCTGGCTCAGCTGTGTCCCAGGAGCCGGAGGAGGGGGACCCCGCTTCTCTCTCCACTTCCCCGGAAACAGGGGTTTGTACTCCCAGTGAGTTGAGCCCTGGAATCAAGGAGCAAGAACTTTCTGAAAGTGTGAGCCTTCCTGCGGAGGAAACGAGCGGGCCGGAACTGGGGCCTGGAGAAGCCGTGGAAGGTGTGTCTGAGGAGCCTGTTCCTGACGAGGAGGAGGGGTCCACGTAAGTGGTGCTGGCAGTTGACGGCGGGAATCCGAGGACATTGGAAATCCGAGATGCATGGAAGTGTGAGATGCCCCTTATCCTCCGGCCCTCAGTCCCCGTTCTCCAGGCCTATTTCCTCTTTGCTTTGGCGACTCAGGTTTGTTGTCCCCCATCTTCCTTCCAGCACTTGGAGCTACAGCTTCTCCCAACTACCTCAGTTTCTCAGTGGTTCCTGGTCAGAGTTCAGCGCCCAGCCTGAGAACTTCTTGAAAGGCTGTAAGTGGTAAGGAAAACGGGGCAGGGAGATAAATACACTAGGATTTTCACCTCCAAATACCCCATTCACCTGGGAGAAGGAGTCACCAGAGGTGGGAGTAGGAGTAAGAATCCCTCTTGGACTGAACTTCAGTTTCACCTGGGATTTTGTCTTCTACTTCCCTCAGGGTTCTGGGGGGAATTTACTCCCTAGACATAGGCTCAGCCCTAGCCCTGCACTTGGAAAATGTAGGTCTGTCTAGCTTTCTAACCTTTGCCTACTCCTAGGGCCCCTGATGGTTCCTGCATCTTGACCAATAGTGCTGATAACATCCTGCGGATTTATAACCTACCCCCAGAGATGTACAGTGAAGGGGAACAGCGGGAATATGCAGAAATGGTAAGGGTAAGGGCTAAACCAGCCCTTTCACCAGACACTGAACATCTTCGTCATGAATTTCCATAGGTAGCATTTTTTATCCTGAATTCTGAAGTCCTTTATTTATTTTTATTTTGTTCTTTAAAATTGATTTGAGAGAGAGAGAGAAAGAAAGAAACATCTATTTGTTGCCTTATCCGGTTTGGCTCAGTGGATAGTGCGTTGGCCTGTGGACTGAAGGGTCCCGCGTTCGATTCCGGTCAAGGGCACATGCCAGGGGTTGTGGGCTCGATCCCTAGTAGGGGGCCTGCAGGAGGCAGCCGATTGATGATTCTCTGTCATCATTGATGCTTCTATCTCTCCCTCTCCCTTCCTCTGTGAAATCAATAAAAATATATATTAAATAAAAAAAGAAACATCTATTTGTTATTCTACTTATTTATGCATTCAACCTGACTGGGATTGAACCCAAAACCTTGGTGTTGGGAGGACGTTGTAACCAATTGAACTAGGGTATAAAGTCATTTAGAGAGATGTTTGTCCCTTCTTTAGTCAGGAATATGTGTTTTCCATAAAAGAGTAGTGACTTTTAGTGACAGTACTTAATTGACTTACAGATTTATTTATTTATTTATTTTATTTTATTTTATTTATTTATTTATTTATTTATTTTTAAAATATATTTTATTGATTTCTCACAGAGAGGAAGGGAGAGAACCAGAGAGTCAGAAACATCGATGAGAGAGAAACATCGACCAGCTGCCTCCTGCACATCCCCCACTGGGGATATGCCTGCAACCAAGGTACATGCCCTTGACCGGAATCGAACCTGGGACCTTTCAGTCCGCAGGCCGACGCTCTATCCACTGAGCCAAACCAGTCAGGGCTATTTATTTATTTTTTAAAAATATATTTTATTGATTTTTTACAGAGAAGAAGGGAGAGGGATAGAGAGTTAGAAACATCGATTAGCTGCCTCCTGCACGCCCCCCACTGGGGATGCGCCAGCAACCAAGGTACATGCCCTTGACCGGAATCGAACCCGGGACCCTTGAATCCGCAGGCCGACGCTCTATCCACTGAGCCAAACCGGTTCGGCTGTTTTTAAAATTTTATTTTAATGGTATTTTATTTTTTGTTAATCCTCACTCGAGTATATTTTTCCATTGATTTTTAGAGAGAGTGGAGGGGGAGAGACAGAGAAACATCGATATGTCGATTGGTTGCCTCCCACATGGGAATTGAGCCTGCAACTGAGATACGTGCCCTTGACTGGAATTGAACCTGGGACCCTGCAGTCTGAGGGTTGGTTGATGCTCTATCCAAACCAGCTAGGGCCAGGTTTTTTTTGAGAGTACATTTATTAAAGCTGGGCACAGTGAAACAAGGAAGGGCTTAGGATAGAAGAAGCAACAGGAGGGAGCCTAGGCGGGGCTGCTGTGGCTCTCTAGAAATGTTATAGGAAAGAAATGGTCCCAGGCAGGGCTGCTGTGGCTCCCTGGAAAGTCAGAGAGGAGGAACCTTGGAGACGGTTGAGGTGGCTAGCCAGGGTGAACTGCCGCTGCCCATTGCTCCCCTGGTTGCAAGTCTTGTGGGGACCTTAGGGTTTAGGAGATGCATGCCTGAGCAGGAAGAAAGGTGTGGGCGTGCTCCTGAGAGGGAGAGTGCTGACAGATATTTATTGAATGATTACCAATATATCAGTTACTGTGTGGTGCGCTGGGGTAAAGTGAATGAGACAGATGAGCTGGTTTGCTTTCTTGTTTGGGAGATAGACAACAAACATGCAAACCAATAAATAACCAAGTTCATTACAAATTATAATAAATGTTATGAAGGAAGTAAACAGAATGAGGAGAGAATAAGGAGAGGATACGACTGAGATAAAATGGTCAGGGAGGGGCCCTCTGAAAAGGAGACATTTAAACTGAGACCTGAAGGATATGAGATCAGTCATGTGAAGAGCTGTAGAAAGCGCCTTCTGGGGAGAGGCAATGATCTTCCGAAAACCAAGAGCTAGGAAAGAACTTTGTGTGTTCAAGGCACAGAAAAAGACTAATGCACCTGGACTGAGGCCAGTGAGAGGGGGAGGGTGCTGCTTATGGAGAGATGGCCAGTGGCCACATTGTGTCAGGTCTTGTCAGTAAGGCATTTGGAGTTTATTTGGGAAGCCATGTAGAGTTTTAAAACAGGAGTGAAATGATGGCTGAATTTTAGAGAATGGACTGTGGGTGGGCAACAGTGAAATCAGGAAGACTCATTAGAATGCGTTTTTCATGGTCCAGGCAAGAAATGATGGTGGCGTAGGCTAGGGTGGTGTCAGGAAAGCTGGGGAGATGTGGATGGGTTTGAAGTATATTTTGTAGGACGTGGAGGTGCAGGGAAGGAAGCAGCCAAGTGTGGTGTCCAGGTTTTGCTGCCAGAGGGATGGTATGATTTACTCAGAACAGGAAACAGGGATATAAAAAGGTATTGGGACAAGTCAGGAGTTTTTAGGTACATTAATTGTGAAATGTAAAACTACGGGAAGAAGTTGGAGCTGGGGATATACTTTGAGAAGTGGGGGAGCATGTAGATAATATGTTGTGTCTTGAGAGTGGATTCCGTCTCAAGAGAGAGTGTAGATGGAGGAGAAGGCCCAAGCAGAGCCCTGCGTTCCAGCATATGGAGGAGGAGTGCAGAAGAAACTACAAAAATGGAGGCAAAGAGTCATGCCTAACGCTGCTGAAAGTGAGGCAGATTTAGAGAATAACCCAAGAAGACATTGGTGATCCTGACCAGAGTACTTTCAGGGGAGTGATGGAGGCAGAAGCCAATCAGAGTGGGTGGGAGAGGAAATATAGACACTTCCTTGGAAGAGTTTTCTTATGACAGGAAAAAGAAATGGAATGGTGACCAGAGGGACTGTGAGCCCCCAAAAGGGTTAATGGTTGCCTCTGTGTTGTCAGGAATAACTCCAGTAGACAGGAATTGGTGCTCTAGGAGAGAGAAGGGTTAACAAAGCCACTGAGTAGCTGGGTGAAGACAGACTCCAGAGTACATTGGAGGTCTTTGATAGGTTCAGGATAATCCCTTGCTGTAGAACAGTGGCTCTCAACCTTCTGGCCCTTTAAATACCGTTCCTCATGTTGTGACCCACCCATAAGATTATTTTCATTGCTACTTCATAACTGTAATGTTGCTACTGTTATGAATTGTAATGTAAATATCTGATATGCAGGATGGTCTTAGGCGACCCCTGTGAAAGGGTCCTTCAACCGCCAAAGGGGTCGCGACCCACAGGTTGAGAACCGCTGCTGTAGAAGGAAAGGCAGAAGATGCATTCAGAGGCACCTGTTTGGTGTTTGGAAGATTTCGGTGTCTCTCTGTTGGCTTCTCAGTGAAGCATGAAGGGAGCTTATCGGCTGAAGGAAGAGGGCCTGCGGGCAGAGAGCAGGAGTGAAGGATCGGTCCTGGAGAGCTGAAGATCAAAACCACCATAGGATGTGGAGGATTGCTCATCTTAGCCCATTGCTCATAGAAATGTGTTGCCATCCATTTAAAGTCAAAACAATTAGTGTGGTTATGCGTCCTTCCCCAGCAAGGTAATGGACCACAGTTTCTGAGTTTGTAAAATGAGGATGATGATAACAACACTCACCTCATAGAGTTGTGAAAATTAAAAGAATTAATGTAAAGTGCTTAAAACAGTGCCTGATGTAGTAAGTATTCAATAAGCACTAGTAGTCACTGATATTAGTTGAGTGCAAACATGGAGGATAGTCTGGTTGGGGTTTGTCAGGGGTGAAAGACAAGGGTGTCTTTCAAAAAAATACGTTTTTATTGATTTTTAGAGAGAGAGGAAGGGAAGATAGAGAGATAGAAAAATAGATAAGAGAAAAACATCAACATTGATCAGCTGCCTCCTGCACACCCCGCACTGGGGATCGAGTCCACAACCCAGGCATGTGCTCTGACTGGGAATGGAGCCAGTGACCTCTTAGTTTGTGGTTGATGCTCAACCACTGAGCTACACCAGCCATGATGTAAATATATTTTTGATGAAGCTGATTAATTGTGGTAGAAATGGCAGAGCAAGCGAGCAGAATTGGTTGGAGATGGTAGCCAGAGACTGTGGTTGTTGACAAGGCCCAGGACTCACTCATGGTCTCAATTATAGCTGTGGGTGCTAAGGAGGAAAGGAATGGGAAAGGCCATGGTATTGGATGGATGCATCATTCTTTCACTGATTCGTTTATTCAGCACTATTTTTTTTTTTAGTACATTCTATGTACTAGCCCTGTTTTAGAAGCTGAGGATTAGTCAAATAAAAACAGGCAAAAGTCCCTGTCCTTGTGAAACTTATATTCTAGTGTGGGGAACAGGCATCTAAAAAAAATAACAAAGTAAAACATAATATATGGTACTTGGGCTAGGGTGGTGTCAAGAGAGATGGAGGGATGGGGATGCATTTGAAGTATCTTTTGTAGGACTTGGAGGTCAATTGAATGTGGAGATGCAGGGAAAAAAAGCAATCAAGGATTATGTCCAAGTAATTTTTTTAATCCTCACCTGAGGATTCATTGATTTTTAGAGAGAGAGGAAAGGAAAAAGAGAGAAACTTCAATGAGAGAGAGAAACTTCTATACTTGCCCAGCATGTGGATCAAACCCGCAACTAGGTATGTGCCCTGACTGGGAATTGAACCCGCAACCTTCTGGTGTATAGGATGACACTCCCACCAACTGAGCCACCCAGCCAGAGCTGACCTCACTATTTAGGTGACATTTGAGCAGAGATCTGAAGGAAGGAAGAGAGTGAACCAAGCTGATGTTTTGGGAAAGAATACAGTGGGCAGGGAGAATAGCAAGTTCAAAGTCCCAGTGGAAGTGAAAGTCACCAAGAATAACAGGAGTATCTATAGGGAGTGAGACAATAAACCAGGAGATAAAGTCTCAGTGAATGAGGGAGAATGACAAAAAGTGGGGAGCTAGACTGATGGCAGGAACTATAGAGAAGCTGGAGTTTAGAGAAGTGAAAAG